AGACTCTAACACTGAGAAGTTCTTTCCTGTTCAGATGTACATTGTGTAACATAATCTGTCATATCAGGACTTTACATACTGACAAAGAAACCACATGTAGATCTGCTAGAACTTTCAATTAAGAATGGCTTAACCCTTTTCTCTCTCATCTGTGACCTGACTACCTGTCTTCAAACATCCAGCCCATAATTCAGTCAAATAATCTCTTAAGTGTTGTGGGTCCTGGCGGGGATATGTCATCGTGATGACTTTTTTTTAATAGAAAAGTTTCACACATATTTGCCAGTCCGATCTGTACAGATGTGTTTGTGTAATGTCTGAGTATTGTGTGTATGTAGTAGTTGTAGTAGTGTTAGTATGGTTGTATTTTCACATTATTCAATCATGGGCTGTCTGGTCTGACGGCTGAATTTAATTAACACAAAATATTTTCTTATACGGATAACATACACTAACTTATTTATTTATAGATTATAGATGTACACATTGCTTGATCTGCTATAATCGAATGGCCATTTCAGATTTGATGCCAATTTAAATGAATTAAAGTTGTGTCAGCAGGAGTTCAAGCCGACACAGTCTCTGCTCCTCTCACCCCAGAGAGGTGGCTGATGGCTCCAACTTAGAGAGACGTCATGTCTGATCACATTGTTTACAATCATGCACATAACTGCACTGTGCACACTCCTACAAGGAATTGGTCACCACCTCACCTCCTGCCAAGCACGCCGGCACTGCTGCAACCAAGCGGGAGACACTCTCAGCTGGGATTCTAAAGTTAATTTAAGGTCGCAGACACCTTCCTGGATTATAACCTTGTTTGTTGTTTTTTCATTCCACACTTTTATATAATTTATATTTAACCATTAAATATTTGTTACTGTCGTCCACGTTATGACAAACAACAACAGAGTGTTGAAGGGAGAATCATGTGCATTCCTTATGTTTTCGGAGCCTTATTAGGAATTCTGTGGGACAGCTGGAGGAAAGCTCTGTCCCCACTCTGCCTTGGTGGTTTGGTTTAAGGCACTGTGTTTACCCTCTCAGTAATCAGTGTAGTTAGATGGATGTGTTCCTTGGATAAGTGTTTCCCTTGATGAGGTCCTCACCTGACCACAAACCATTTATCGGCAGAGACAGATGATGACCTTAAATTACCCCCTGTATTTTGGTCTCGCTCCAGGCCACCGTGGCTCTGCCGTTTGTATGCTGGCGACCGCCTGCTCTTTGTGGTGCGGGGGCTCGTCCCAAGCCGCAACTGAATCAAGTGTCCTTTTCTGCTTTTGTTAATGAGAAGCCTGTGTGGGTGGAAGTGGGTTTGGATTCCCTGTGGTAAAACTACAAGGCATATTTTTCAGATACAGAATGAAAAATTTACAAAGACCAAAGTCTGCAAGTGGCTACTGTTATATCCTATGTTATATTATTATTATTATTATTGATGTCCAAAGGCTTTACTTTCTTTTCCTGAAGAACATCGAAGTACAGAAGTCAGTCCTGATACTTGCATGGTCTTTTTTTAGAACAGCTTGTCTAAGGAACTCGGCCGAGAGACAAACATTTCAGATATGTTCACAAGGAATAGAAATGTCTGCAAGCTGCACTCTGCTGCACTTGATTTCCCATCAGTAGCACATGAGAGCAACATTTAAGATGCATTAGTCGAGACTTTTATGTAAATACACTCATTACTTCAGCCTAAGCTACTGTTGCTGTGCTCCCACCCGTGTTAACTGAGACAGCCGGACTCACCAATATTGCATCTTTAGAGTTACACTAATCCATTTTTTTAATAACAAAGATATTAGCAAAAAACTAGGATGGCACTCAGCAGAACACATACCTCCACCAACGCCCAAGTTCAGTTAAACTCAATCAGCGTGCGCCAAATTGCACACACTCATAGATATCAGTCTCCTGAAACACACAACTCTGTTGACATGCTGTTCCTCTGATCGCTATGTATTTTGGTTTGATTTCTCTTCCCTCGTATTTTTATGCATTTTGCCCTTCAGTTCTTTGCTTGCGTGGACCATGATCAAAGACATTTTAAAAATGAGTTTTGTAGCCCAGCAAACCAAAGCATGGTTCTTCTTGCCAGCTGGAGTCCTGTTGGAGACGAAACAAAAGCAAGCAGTCTTTTTTTTTTTTTTTGTCTTTTACTTTTTATGTTCCTTTCCCAGGTTTTCCCATCGCTTGCTGTTCTCCCTCTGAAGAGGTTTGGAGCTGTTTGCACACTCGCGTTTTCAGTACTTTGCATGTTTTCTTTGTTTGTGCACCTGACAGTAAAAAACATCCTGCTCACCTCAATAGAGGAATAGATCGTTCTCTCTCCCTGACTTCTCCTCCTCCTCTCTTTATTTTTCCTCTTATTGTGCGCTGTGAACTATGCTCTCCACATCAAAGACCTAAGATCCCTCTTTTTTTGTCCAGGACGCTTGAGCTGTTAATGCGAAAGGTTCAACGGGAGCATAACAACAGTAGTACGGAGCATTGCATATGCATCTGATAAGGCTATCAAAACACAGCATCACGTGGTTTCTATGCTTTGTTTGTTGTAACCATAGAAAACAAAAGAGGGCTTCCAAACAGACAAGTCTTAGCCTACAATAATTTTTGTTTGCAGGGTCATCAGCTGTCAGCAGGGAGCAGAGCCTGTAATTTCTCTGTCTCTGCAAGACAACACAATGCTTGAGATTTACAACACATCTGTTTGCACCGGCTCCAAGGGCTGAGGGGAGGGAGCACACACATACAAACACACACATGCACACACACACACACACACACATAAAGTCAGCATGCTGGTAATTTAATTGATTCTGATGTCAGAAGGAGCCCCCCTACTACTTTTGTGCAGAAGCAGGAGGGAGGGAACAGAAAGCAGAGCAGAGAAAAGGTAGTTGACAGTCTCGTAGATACATAGCCAGAGAGACAGCGAGCGAGTAGGATAGCATGGTGGGTGTGCTATGTGAGGAATGTCGGCTCATGTTGTAACTAGAACTCCTGAAAGGGCCCTGTTCTTTCCATACCACTGGGACTGTTTAGACCCCGTTTTGGCAAGCAGCCCAACGCCCAACCCCTCTATCTGTCTCATTATCAATGTGGCTTTTTGTGCCTTCAGGCTCTTGTTTTTATGTATTTGAGTCTTAAGCTGCAAAGGCTCTATCACGGGCCTGTTAGTAAACTTCACTCGGCTGCTGTAAAAGGACAACATCAAATATGAAGCAGGGCTGTCTCAAGGTTGTGCACATTAATGTTGCCATTATAGAGAATTTCCTCAAAAAGCCCTTGCAGTGCTGTGAATCGTCACATTTCTAACATAGGACGCGCCAGTCTGAATTGATATCCTAATGAGTGAGAATGCAGTCTTCATTCACTGAGCTCAATGAGAAAGTTCCTTGTATGTAATACATTTTCATCTATTTGGGGTCTGTAAAAAGTTTCTTTGTGCTTTTATTCAGGGTTCTGTGTGTTTCAATGCACAAAACCCCAAATGCACTGAAAATCAGAATATTCTTTCCCAGCATGAGCTGAAAAATAACATCAATACACCAAAAAGAACAGAATTCAATATTTAATCAGGGCTCCAGTGGGAACCCAATTATGTGCTATGAATTTGCAAACTGCTTCATATTCTTTTATTCTTCTCCACATTTTGTATGGAATATTTATTACTAGAGTTTGCTTTTTCATAAAAAGTATTTTTCTTCAGCTGCTGCTGTTACACATTCCCTTTTGAAATTACGTTATCCATTCTTCTTTCAAGATCATTCTGATTAATTACTAATCGCGTGAGGCTTCATAGTTTTGAAAGTTTCTATGGACGGTAACACAAACGCTTTTGTCTCCAATGGGAATGGATGCAAGCAGCATTGACTCCTGGGTCAGATGACTTTGCAGTTAATATGGCTTTTAATTGGCTCAGGCCCTGTCATTGATGGAACCATGGCACCCAGATAAAAGCACTCATTTGGCAGAGAGGTGAGAGAGCGCCTCAGTTTTTTGGCACATTTGTGACATCAGACATGAAAAATCAGGGGGAAAAAAACAGAAAGGAGTCAATCGCCTTTCTTAGTGCGTTCACCTGTATTTAAAAAGCCTGTGTTTATACCCACTAGTTTCATTGTAAAAGAGGTATGTCGGAGATCTGGGTAGTAGCAACATCAACATTGGTAAAAAATAATTTAGGGGAATCAAAAACATGAGCAGCCAGATGATCAGAAAGAATTATGATCTCTCTGTTTTCTCAACTGTTCTATTTTCTTCCACTTCATGGCATTTTGCTCTCTATCTTAAACCATTTCATTCAATAAAAGGGAAAATAAAATCTTTCTGCAGCTAACCAGCTTGCTAACAGTCAGTTATCAGGCTCGGTAGCTGATTAGTGTCTAACTGACTAATGGAACAAGAGGCGTAAATTGTTAATTTGCATTTGTACCTAATTTTCTCCACTGTACCTATTGTACACCTAACTCTCTCCTACACACACACACACACTGACAAACATTCACACATACTGGAACACTGCTGTGATGTTCTGCACCTATGTGGGAGAAAACAGTGAGGGAGATTGACTGTGATGAATGGCTCTGTATTGGCAGTTTGGTTCCTGTGTGGGTCTCAGTGCACAGTAGGGCCTTCACAGTAGAAATCTGATGTGGGACGCCCAAGAATATTTAGCAGTGTGTGGATAGTTTCCAGTCCTCCTCAGGGTCTGAAGAGGAACGTGTGAGATGGAGATAGATGTGCTGCATTTGATGTCTGGCAGTCTGATTTGAAATGATTTCAAATGTGGACGGTTGAGTAAGGCATTGGGGTGATGGCCAGATTTGACTGGAGCAGGATAGTGAGAGAAAAGAGGATTATGCACATAGATGAGGAAGTTAGTGTGGTCTACAAAAATAATTTGGAAAGATTGAGCAAGAATTTCCTTAAACAATATTGAATTGAATTTTTTTTATTATTAAGTTTGGTTAGTGTGACAACGTATGTGGAAGCAGGACTACAAGAGAGACAAAAGATGAGTTGGAGTTGAGATAAATGAAGAAGTGATGGGACAAGTCGCAGTCTGTCTGTTCCACGGTGAGTGAAAAACAGTCTTGCTATCTGGCTCATGCTATTTATAAGTGCTCCTGTGGAAAAAGAAACAAGAAATCATAAATCTATATAAATGTGAATGTGTGTGTTTTGTCATGGCATGCTTGTGTTTCATGCCAGTCACTATCGGTTCTAAAGACCCCCGATAATATGTCAGTGTAAATGAGGCGTAATGGTACATTTCTGCAAGGCACAATCATTTGTTTTTGAATCGTTGAGCTGCCATGAGGATGTCAGCCGTACCGAGAGACGGACGTGTGAGGCAGCAGGAGGTGAGGAAAGCTTTCTCTCCCGTCGGGGTTGTCAGGTTGTTTGAATGAAGGCGTGATGACGGGGAGAAGTACATGGAGAAAAAAAAAACACAGGGAAAGAAAACACACAGTGTCCTGCGGGGATTGAGGGATTTCTGTAGAGCTCACATGAAAAGACAAATATGTCACCGTATGCCAATGGTCGTCATCTCCTCACCCTCGTTTTTCCATCTCTGTTTTTTTTCCAGAGTTGCTGGGCTCGACCAAGAGGCTCAACATCAACTACCAGGACTCAGACGGGTAAGAGGAGTGTACGTGTGATTGTCCTCGTGTGTGTCCCAGCTTGTGAGATAACTGACTGAGTCAAAAGAATGCAGTGCAAGAGACATTGCGTCTTGATTGACATGCAGATTGAAAACAAAAAACAATGCCCTACCTGTTGCTGGCAGTCTCCTGTTCACCTGCTGTCTCCCCAGCGTGACTCATAACAACTCACACATGTACTGACACATAGTGATTCATGTGATCATCAATGTAGAAAATTACTGGAAATTGACTTTGTTTTGGTAGAAATATAGAGATAGAGATATACTTTATTCTGCGGTAAAAAGTCAATACAATTCAGCATAACTTTTGTACATTTTCTTCTTCTTAAGTAACTTGTAACTGAAGCTGCTTTCAGACATGCACTGAACTCCTGAAAGTATTTGGAAAATCTGTAAGGATACAAATGTCTGAGTCAGTTCCTGCAGACATTCTCTGGAGTTTCCCCTGGTAAAAACTCCACATAATGTCACAGAAGAAAACAAGCTTTTGGTGATACAGGTCGACATGTGTGGATGTGCTGGTAACAAAGTACTGTACTGCACCACACCTCACCTGTACACTCCGCAGAATTCCTGTTGTTGTGAATGCGCCTGACCTAAGAATCTCTGCAGGGTTCTTCATATGGAGAAAATCCGGCCCCCTCTCTGCAGGCATTTTCCCAGAGTTCATTTCTAAAAAAGGCAGTATAAGCTGGCTCACTCATTGGTTAGGGCTTCATAACCAGGACTGAAGCCTCCATAGCAGCATAGTGTATGCTTGATTAGAAAGTGGCGAATGAATTAACCAATCTCACTGGGTTCAGCTTTTTATTCTGTCCAGGGGTTTAATCTACCTGAGCAGATCACAGACGGCGATTGGAAGGTTGATGGGAAGGTAGAGGGGAAACTGCATCCAAAATTGAAAGGTTTTATACCAGAATGTAAATTGCTCTGATATTCATATTCAAATTATTTTTTAGATTTCACAAAATTATATTAGACTTTAAAGGAAGATTTGCTGCACGTTGAATCCAATCTATGGCAGCTTTTAACTTAGCAAGCAAGCAACTCTTAGGTTTTTCCAGATTCGTGTTGAAATACATTTTCACAAATGCCCAAGAGTCAGCAATGGACTTCACATGTTTATAGCTTGGATTACTTGAAGTTGAAGGCCCAGATCTCAGCATTCGCAGTTCATCATTGATAGCTGGAGTGGTTTCAGTTGACAGTGTGAGGTCCATCCCCTATTGTTCCACAGCCTGTAAAGGTTTCCATTCTTGCATGGGTTATTTACCCTCCAAACAATTTAGATACTGAGTTCTGTTTGCTAAGCTTAATGCTTCCACGAAAGTAGAAAGCCACTCTTATTTTGTAGCCTTGTTAACTTTTATGATTAGAAATGTACATTATGTCCCCTTTGATGGATGAAAGACGTGGGAAAGACTGTATGATGATGATGATCGCCACTGATCAGGACAAACCAGTGATTAGTCAATCAAACCTGCCCTGCATGCACTATTAGTGGCCCTGGGTCAGTGGACCTTAGATCAGACCCTGGTACTCTTTGCCATTCTCCACTCTTGTGTCAGCCTCTTCCTTAGCCCTCTTATAGATATCTTTAATCTTTTTATTTATGTTCTTCAAAGAGAGAATCTTTATTCAAGGTGTTCTGTCTCTGTACACATGCAGATATCCCCCATGCAAGCTGTGTGTGGCTGTGTGTGTGTGTGTGTGTGTTGGTGTACGTGCAATTTGTGCGTGTGTTGACTTACGCTGGATGCGTGTGTCTACACGTTGGGTCAATGCAGTGTGTGGGAGGTGATACATAATAGGGGTGTTGAAATTAAACATGTCCATCCATGAGGGCGTGTGTGTGTGTGTGTGTGTGTGTTTGTGAGTGTGTGAGTGTGTAAGTGAGTGAGTGAGTGAGTGAGTGAGTGTGTGTGTGTGTGGGCGAGACAGAGAGAGTGATACAGAGGAGGGTTTTACCTGTGATATATGAGATCAGTGTGTGTTGTGTGTGTGTGTGTGTGTGTTTGTGGGGGGGTGTTAGAGGAGAGGGGAAGGTGAGCAAACAGTCACTTGTCACTGAGTCAACATCATTCCTGACAGACAGATTCCGACTGAGCGCGTCTTAGTAAGTGATGGTAACGGTTGACTCAGTATATGAATAAGGTAGATAGAAGGATTAATGAAGGTGTGTTTGTGGCTGAGCAGCATCGAGGCCTGAACAATGCGACTGATAACATAAGCCACCTGACTGTCTGGAGATCCCTTAGATTATCTATCAATGCACACACATCTTCATGCTCTCTTATTGTCCTGGCATCACACTGCGTCACACTGGGAGTTCACTTGAGTAAACCTGTTTTTGGGAGTACCTGGCTTCATAAATTAAATAAAACATCCTAAATCCACAAATGGTTATTTTTGTAAATTTATTGAATATGGATCAAACAAAACAGAGAGAACATGTTACTTAAGTTTAGAAGTAGGAGGGGTGCAGTGATTGTAAAACCACGATCTTGTATCCCGATGGACGATGAAACTGCGATAACCTCAACCCCAGCCCGCTGCCACCAACTGCAGCCTCTTGAGCTCTCATTACTTTACTATTGTAGCAAAATTCATTTTTTATTTCAAAATGAATACCATGTAAATCACAAATTCATCTCAGTGTGTGCTGTACATTTAGTAAATATAACACATTGCGTCCTTCAGCTGAGATCGACTTTCAAGCTGTGTGTTGAACAAAAAACAAATTAGAAAAAGAGGAAGCTACGACCTAGAGGTGCAACACTTACATTTACTGTTTTGTTGTTGTTGTTGGCACAACTACAGTGCATTCTGTTATATATCCCCATAAATACTTTGCTATTCACATATGATTGGTTTAATACTAAGGTTTAAGACGTGATAAAAAAATCCCACATACTGTTTTAGTGTATTTAATAGCATAGTAAGGAATTTTGGGTGCAGCCATTTGCTGATTTTGCAAAAGGTTAAGATGTTGTTTGGCAATCGTGGAAAAGCAAACAAGAGCAGGCTTCACTGAAAATATGCAACTGATACATCTCACCCCCTCCCACCGGCCGTCTCGTCAAAGCTATGCACCCAAAACACATGAACGTGAACTGTCTAACAACTGCAAGAAGCTGACTACTCTGTGACGGGGTATGTGTCTCCGGCTGAAGGCTCTTGTCATGTGCAGGGAGAGCACAGGTAGGCAGGTTGGTTAAAATGAAATGATTGGTCATGCGAGGGCCATAGATGCACAACTTCAATTATTGATGGCTGTCGGGACGAGAACAGACTTTCAACAGATAAGATAACAAGTGTTTTTTAAGCGATCAACCACACAAAAAAGCCCAAGTTATGTCCAACAACTCAATGTTTCATCGTCCATGAAGGGTTCAACTTCTGTGGTGCTGCAGACGTGCTTTTGCCTATTGCAGCTTGAATTCTGCAGCTGGTTAACCGCAGTTTAACCAACACTAATGTGACACTGTTTTATTTAAAGTGAATCTTTAATTTCTTGGACCAACATAATTTGGTTGGTACACTTAAAAGGGCAGAGTTGGGTATCAAACCCTAACTGAGTTTCACAATACCTTACATTACAACAACAGGGTGGAATGTTTGTTTGTCGGTGCTGGTTCCAGCGAAAGACTCATAATGTGCTGAGACTGTCAGCACAGTAAATTCTATCCTCAAATGAAGCCAAGCTGTTTATCAGCACTGGTGCCCGAGAGCTCCGAGCCTGAGGCTGTGCAAATTCACCTGAAAGCCCCCCCCCCCTCTATGTTAGTTATTATTTTGTTCCCACATGAGGGAAGTGTGTTTAAGCTCTGGCTCTGCCCATGTGTTGCCTCAGAGGGTAACCTTCCCTGGAACACTCACAGTGTCTGTCGCCTCAAGCGAAAGAAAAACCTGTTGCCAAGAATTTAGCCTTTAATTTCACCGTGTGTGAATGTGCTCTGATCCGACTGAGAACCGGAGACAAACACTCACATTTCATTTCTGAAGCTTAGATGAACACATACATACACACGCACAGAGAAACAAACACTTTCATCATCTCAGCGTTGCGTTTTGAAAACCTTCTCTAAAGTCATGTGATTTATAACCCCTCAACTCCTTCTTTCCTTCCCTTTCTTTCTCATGTCTTTTCCCCTCTGTCTCTTTCTCCGTCTCATCCAAAGCTTCTCCGCCCTGCACCACGCCGCTCTGACGGGAACCACTGAGCTGCTGTCTCTGCTGCTGGAGGCCCAGGCCACGGTGGACATCAAGGACATCAACGGTATCTTGAGGCAGATGTTTACAAGCTGAAGCACTGTCCCTAGGCTAGAGCCCATAACTTAGGAGAAAAAAGTTCACGGCTGGGAAGTCAGTTGAGGTTAAATCAACCCTGAAACTTTCTCAATAGCTTTCTGACACTCAGCTGAAAATAAGTTGGACCCATATGAATAAATATGATTTACTTTGAAGTCTGCCTGCCACGTATTGACAGCAGTGCAGCAACAAATATCTTCAGACCTCAAGTGGAACAGATTTTCTCGAATTTGTGCTGTAGTGGCATCTCAGCTGGAGAGACAAGAGGCATACAGGCCTCGTAACCATATATGTGATGCCTGTGAGATCGGCGATAGATTCAAATAGTTACGTTTTCTATTAATTTTCATTTTACCGCTTCCTTGCCAACTTGTCACATTTTTGGACTCCAAGGTTTCCGGCAGCCTGTCACAGCAGTGGCAGGCAACCTCACCATGAAAATAAAAAATGTTCATGTCAGAGGAAAATATTACACTTAAATGAAAAACGACATTGACCCCTGAGGGAAGGAGAGCTGAGGCACTGTATTTCACAGCAAAAGCAGTAATTTCATGAGTGAGGCAACCGTAACTTTACTAACTACTTGATCTCAAGGCGAGATGTGTGGAGATTTATCAGTCTGTCGTAATTGACCAGAGCAGCAAAATGAAATGTAGACCCTCAGAGTTTGGGAAATTTTGACGTGAACAATTTATCGCTTCCATCGTTCAGTTTCAGAGTTAGAGGAACAAATAAATGTCAAGTTTCAAATTGATCTGGTTTTATCTGTTGAAATTAGACGGTGACATTTTTCTCTGTCAATGTGAAAATGCCAAAACGGAAACAAATTTTTTTTGTCAGCATGTCTTGTGTGCATATCCAAATGGCTGTTTTATTCCTTTGTGCAATAGAGTTCCATTTCTGTGCAACTAATTTAGCATTATATTAAGGTGATGACGGGGAAGTAAACTGAAATGACACTCAGTAGAGAGCATATCTCCTTCAAGGCTGAACAATCCTGCACACGTTTGTCAGATCTGGATTATCATCTGGATCGGCCCCAGACTGCTAACACTCATTGATGTGCATTTAATTGCCATACATCCAATTCGTACTTTATTGCTACTGTGAGATTGTTGAAAATGTCAATCTTGCAGTTTTATGGAAAGTAATATAAAGTTCCTTGAGCTGCCCCTTTAACTGGATCCACACCAAAATACCATGGGTTCGTCTCTGGCCCAGGTCCCATCCTTTCACATAGTTGTATATCAAATCATCTCAGTACTTTTTGTGTAATCCTGTTAAAAGACGAAACAACAAACTGACGTGAGTCAAAACACAACCCCCTTGGTTGTAGTAAAGAAAAAAAAATGTATGCTCAAAATTGAACGAGCAGAGGCAGCGATATCCTGACTTCTAGTTATGAACTGAGCCTCAAAAATACTGGATCCTACATTCCCCCCCCCCACACTACAGCTTAAAGGGTTGACCATACTTTCTGCATCTTCTTTCTGAGAGTTGCATATTCGTTCTGGTCACACATACATGCGCATGGTTCCATTCATTCTAAAATGGGGTTTCACGCATGTGTAGCTGATCCCACATTCTAGCAGAGGGATATATTGTACCTGGCACATTTGCAGTCTAACCTTACAGCCAGCTTGGTCACAAATGCGGATCTGTGGGCAGACGTCTGCATAGAGGTCCATGTTTACCCATCATACATGGGTGGATGATGACATTCATGTCATGAGGACCATAGCGGATACAGACATGGAAATGATTAATTCGCTGTAACGGCTTCTTGTATTCGTTTACTTGGTAGACAGAGACATCTTTCAAACTTCATGCCCCAACTTTGTGACTCACTTTTTTGTTAAAAGTGTGTAATTCTAAGCATAAACCAAGATAACCTGATAGCCGTGGTGATGGCATATTACATCATCGGGTCAAAGCACTGTCAGAGCTACAGAGGACATATAACAGCTGTTTTTACAGACGGGCTTGCTCACCCTGTGACTAGTAAATTATCTTTGACATCTAAATCAGTAGTGCACATCTCACTGTCTTTTCTTTTCTTTCCTATCTTATTGGATCCTCTTGTTCCTGTCTCTAGGCATGCGTCCCCTCCACTATGCAGCATGGCAGGGTAAAGCCGACTCTGTCTTATTGTTGCTAAGAGCCAACGCTTCAGTCAACTCCTCTTCCCATGATGGACAGATACCGTTACATCTCTCCGCTCAGTATGGACATTATGAGGTGGTGAGTACACACACCTCAACAGCCCAAGGCAAAGTTTCAAAGCCCTGCCAGTCCTCACATTTCACTGAAATCTAGCCCCTTTGTGTCTCAGCCTGTATTGTCCACCAACAATACCAGTAATACCATTAATGCAGCGCCACAGGTTTTTCACAAGAGTCTACAGGCTGTGAACACACACATTCCTTTCTTCCAGCCTCATCTGTTGGGCTCCTGGAACGTCTTAATGGATATATACACATATCCACACACTCACACACATACCTCAGCATGTAAGCCATAGCCAGCCCTGACCTCCATAGTACTACAAACTCAATACTGACACAAGCTGGACTCGAAGTATCGCGTTCCTTCACTTCTGTTCAAAGACAAAACAATCAACACGCACACACACAATGTGTTTGGAAGATTGGCATGTGACATACATGACGTGATGTCACTTGTGTGATTCTATTTTCCTTTTTACTCTCAGTCTGAGATGTTGCTGCAGCATCAGTCGAACCCCTGCCTGACGAACAAGGCGAAGAAGACTCCTCTAGATCTGGCCTGTGAGTTCGGGAGACTGAAGGTATAAAAATATTTGTGAGAGGTTTCTGTGTGAGTTTGTGTGTTAGCATATCTTACCCGTTTATAACATATAAGAATGTTGATATTTTATTAAGAAGTATCTTTTTTGCCATTTATTAAAAATCTCACAATGTATTTGACAGAATTAGTTTGATAAGATTGATGGGTGTCAGCAATATACAAATATCAGAACCGGTTTTCAAAGCTTAGGTGCAAGATAAACTATGTTTATACACAGAAACGATACATGTCTTACTTTCCACATACAAAGTGGCTGAGGCTGATTTAATATAATCAAGCAGAAATTAAAAAAATTTGAGAATAAATTTGTTTGTGTTTATTTATTAAAATGAAACCATCCAATAGGAAGCACAACAAATAAATACAATAATCATATTTGAAATCGTACAATAATAATGATAATACACTAAAAGGTAATACTAACGATAAGGAAATAACAAAAACAACACTAAGGCAACCACATCTGAATTAGTCAGTTTGTCTTTAAATGGCTTCTAGTTTGATCTGTCTGATATTAATTGGTAACTAGTTCCAGGCAGAAAACCCTCTGTATAGAACCATTGCCATATGAAGATGATTTGCTTTCTTCATGTAGTTATTCTAATCCACTTATTTGCGAGTAAAAACATCCTTTCAGTCCTTTTCTGAATGGAACGGCCAACGTGTCAAACTTAAACTATGGCTTGGATGAAGTAACCCAGATAAACTAAGCTTCTTTGATGAAAGGGCAATGGGCTTCAGTCTGTCTTTTTGGATTCACACATATACGCACACACACATCCACCGATGTCCGTCACATTGGTGGATAAGCCTGGTTGTGAGATGTGTAGCTGGCCCTATATTACAGAATTAGACACACACATAAACACATTTACCATGACTGTTAAAATGTTCTCTCATCTGGTATAGAAAGCTGTGGTAGTGGATAAGCTTCTCTGCACTATGTTGACCCTATATACAGTACAAGTCACTCAATACAGTGTATTATGACGTTAGTGCACGCATTTCAGCCACATAACCTCAGCTAGCTTGGTTTTGCATATATATTAATATGTTATAATTCTTGCCCCAATTCTGCCACTTTTCTGTTCTTAGAGCCGACCCTTCATTTTGGTGTGTTTGATTTGTCTTTAGGTGACTCAGTTGCTGCTGAGCAGTAACATGGTGACGGCGCTGCTAGAAGGGGACGGAGCGCACGACAGCCTGGACTCTCCATCCACCACCCCCCTCCACCTGGCAGCGAGGAATGGACACAAGGACATCATCAAGTAAGATGACAGGAAGGAGCAGTCTGCACTGTAATAGATGTCTGTTACGTGTCTTTCTACCCTTTCATCTCTCTGACAGCTTCTCTCTACTTCAACCATCACTACTGCTACTGCCAATACAGCTGTTACTGCTGCCATCAATACTGTTGCTACTACAATTCCTTCCTGCGTTACTGCTACTTATACCACTACTGTTATGGTCACTACTACAGCTCCTTGATCTTCTACTGATACTTCTACAACTACCAATACTGCTACTTCTGCCAGTGATACGAATGCTTCTTCTGGCACATCAACTATTTTTACTCCTACTAATATTAATAATATATTATAGCAGCTGCAACCTGTGCTACTGCTAATCCAATTACAACCATTACTACTACTGCAACTGTAAGTGTAACTAGTACTGTTGCAACCATGATTACTACTACTGTTACAAATCCTACTTCTACCACTATTAGTAATACCAAAACTACTTTTACTACAACCAACATTACTCATTGACAGATTGATCAGCTGCCATTATTATTATTACTATGCTATTACTGCTGGTACTACCTCTCCTAGTGCATATGTGATTTTTACTTCTACCATTGCTATTGGGACCGCTATAAGTTTTTGAAAACATCTTGTAGACTTCTACTGTCACCCTTACTAGTGCTGCACTCCCCACTGAAGTCACTGAGGCCGTTTTCAGCATGAACTCAGAGAATGTCCCAACAATGGGTCATCAACAGATATGTCTTAAACACGCCTACTTGCTCATGGTGAATCCTTCTGAGAATCTCCTGCTGTATTCTCTCATGGGCACGGACATTATCTGGAGTTTTCACCAAGGGGGCTGGCAGGAGAAACTTCGGACAATGTCTGGAGCCTCTCACTCAGACATTTGTGTTCTCACATACAGCCCTTCTGGAGATTGCCTTAAGTTCAGTCTTCGTCTGAGGCAGCTCTACTGTTTCATTGCTGTTACTACAACTACTATAATTGCTACTGCTAATATTATACTACTACTGCAACATATACTATTTCTAATGCTACCACAACATCTGCTATTGGTGCCACTATACGGTAATCAAGACCTCTTGGATATTGTCTGATGACAAAATTAGCCTCTGGGGGCAACGACTCTCCACAAGGACTATTAACCTGTATTTGGCTGCTCAAATGTTTGAGCAGCCACACTTCATATGCAAACCAGAGGGCTTCTGGCCCCAAAATTGTGCCCCTCACCCACAGATTCTGCTTTACTCACATGGAAAGTCTGTTTATAGAGATTACAATACAGTAACACGACTGCAGCTAAAACAACTACTTCAACTACTGCTGCCACTGACAATACTACACAGCTACTAGTGCTGCTTAAACCACCACTAGTTTGACGACAACTACTTCTACCACTATATGATTAGGGCCGTCATTGCTATCACTACTATGATTACTGCTACTTTTCATCTCCTTTACAACTACTTACAGTACTAACAGCTTGGGCTCTTGCTGGTACAATTACGACCACTGATCTTATCATTAGTACTGCTACTGTGACTGATACCACACAGGATACATCTGTGTCAGTCCTCGAGACAAAGCTGCAGGCCCTAAACATTTCTCCTCAGTTAGCAAACCCAATCTCCAGCTTCAACATATTACTCTGTAGCTGGTGTCTTCACACTCTTCAGGCAGCTTATAGTGGCTCTGTGTTTTTTATGCCAGCATATGTTAAAATATGTACTTAGCCAAGTCACTCCACCCTGCCTCTAAGACATGCAGCTAACGACTCCCATCCTCTCTGAATTATCAGGAGACGTTTGCTACACCCTCTTCATCCTCCAATCTGCCTCCCCTGAACTGGAATGTTGAATAGTGATAGAAGTTTATTCAGAGTTTACTCAGCAGAATATTCCTGCAATCTCCCACTAGGGGATTTATGTCTCTTGAAAGACTGCCACATTTATGCACCAGATTTCTTTTACTTAGTTTTTATGCCTCTGTGCCTGCAACAGCCGCAGCTGGAGTCATTATGTTTTCACGTTGTCGGCCTCACTCTCATGAAAACAATATCTCAGGAACACCATGATAAGTGTTTGTTGGTCACAGCTCAAGGTCTGTGACTGCACACAATATGTTTTTTGCCATGATTTATAAATTAACAGCCTAATTTGGACAAAATTATACAGAAATGTTGGCTTGGGTCTTTAGGAATTGTTGCATTTATTTAATGAGAAACAGCGTAAACTGACATTTCACTGCTTGTTACAGCTGTACCGCTAACTTCTAACTCTCTGCTCTGGTTTGCAGCCTCAACCTCACTACAAGTTTAGTGCAGATCTTAGATGATAAATCATAATTTTCTAATCCGTGAGCATAGTTTCCACACACATCTGCACACGTGTATAAAAAAGTGTGCAATTTCACATTCTCAATAAAAAGATTCTGCATGTGAATGTGTATCTGTAGAGGAAGGACATACATTTTGGGCGGGAAGCCTTCTAGTTTCTGTCTCTAATTTGACCAATCCCATTTGAGTAAAGGCTATAGTTGCCGGCAGGGAAACACTGTGTGAAGAGCATTAACTAGAATGAACTGGCAACTGACTATTTAATCTATCTGCTTCTATATAGAGACTGTAGCTGTTAGTAGAGATTAGTGTTGTCTTGAAGTAAAACACAGACAAGATAACGCTGTTTGTGTTTTGTGTGGGGAAACGTTCATGCTGCTTGCCCCTCTCCTCCATATTGTCTAACTCATGTCAGTTTTTGGCCTTATAGTTTACTGAAAAATGAAAATTCAGATGCTAACAGCATTGCATGAAATTACTTCATTTACACCATATTTTTTAGCCCAAATGACCTCTGATATCCTCCTCGTAGCCTTGTTCACATTCATGGTAGCATTGCTACTCATGGTAGCAGACATTTAGGCTTAATACGTGGTGTAAATTATGCAGTTTCCAGGTTTAATGTTGGGGCTTTTTTTTTGAAGAAGTGGTCACCAGTTACTTCAATTGTATTGGATTTGGCTGCAACACTCTTCACCTCTGTTTACTATGCTATCAAGTGAATTTTCATGTTTGGGTGAACTATCCCTTTAAATATTCTAGCACTGTTCGCCTTGCTTGCCCTAATGGTATGCCACTACATGCAGTGCAGTTTCTGTAGAATATATAGTATGAGAGTACCAACTGCTTATCTGCAGCACAGAGAAGAAGTCTAAGCTTAATGACAGACATTTCAGACATTCAGCCTTCTCAAGGTTTCACGTCAGCCAGATTAACACCGCTGCTGCTGAGCAGAGGAAGAAGGTGCCGATTACAAAAGGTTCGCTTCAGACTCCTTTTTTCATCACACTGCATCACGTCTTAAGATTTCTCCTATCTGTCCCACCTCCCTGTGGTGCTCTACTTAGTGAGATCTTGTCATGTGAAGCAACATTTACATGTCATTAGCCATCAGTAGGCTTTTTACCCACAGACAGTTCAAGCACAGTTACCACTCATCCTCGTAATACTATGGATTGTTCTTATAAAATTACAAGTTGTGTCTTATCATATTGACTTTGCTCATTAAAAAGTTGTACGTTTGTGATAATAATTCATGATTCTTTATGATTTTAACAAAAAGTGGCCCTTATAACCAATGTCAAGCATGAAGCAGTGTTACGGCCACGGGGACAAAATATATCTG